CCCCCACCCAAAGAAAAAATTAACAAAAAAACACACATTCTGAATCAGGAGCTTCTAATAGACCATTCCACCGAATGAGGAAGAAGAAAGGAAAGAATCAAAAAGTACCAGAAACAGTAACAAAAACCAGTATGTAGATCATTTTTGTACACCTCTGTGGCACACCAAGTCCAGAATAATTATCTTGGTCAAGAAAACTAGAAAAAGTAAGCGGTTTGATCTGTTTATCAATACTGTTTCCGGTGCTTTTTGATTCTTTTCTTTCTTATTCCACAGTCGGTTGAATGGTCTATTGAGTGGCGTCGTATTAGACAAAAGACATTTAATCGCCACAAAAAATGTGTCTTCGCTTACCTGATCAGGAGTAGAAAATGTGCAGTGCTATTCCAGCGGGTAGGATGGCGAGTTCTTAATCCAATCGCTACTTTAGATATGTCATTAAAGTCTCCGATCATAACATAGCTGGCGGGACGGTGCTTTTCAAGGACAGCGCAAGAATGCCAGACCGATGGGACGGCTGTGACCTAAAAGTTTAGACCTGTGAAATTATATTTATATGGCCACTAGGCATCCACAGTTAAAGTCTGGATATCAAAGGAAACCATTCCGACGGCGTGTGTGTTTCTGTTCGAACATTATCCATAAAGCATTCCGGTAGAGATGAAATGCAGAAGAATGCAGGGAACAAGAAAACGGAAGTCCCATAGAAAAGCAAAGTGATATCCGTTTTCTTCTTCCTCGCATTCTTCTACATTTTGGCTTTACCGGAATGCTTTATACACGTCACCATGTTAGAGACGACCAGTGAGAACTGTTCCCTGAAAGTTCCCTGAAAGTTAGTTTTCGTAACGAGTGCTTGTCTCAAGCAAATTTTACTTGTACCAAATCCCAAATTCTGCCACCATTCTCAAGCCATAATGGACGATGTGACTCTGAGCGTGGCAACGTCGCAAATCTTACTGCTAGAACCGCTGGAGACCCGCGTAAACGAGGGGTCGCTAGACCCATAATACCTTATAATACCTGATAGTAGTCTATAATACTTCAAAATATCAAATAATATGACATAAAATCCCTTAAAACGTGCCATAATAACGCATAATACTATAATACTCCGTATACTGCTGAGGTGAGTTGGCGACCCCTCGCGCGTAGAGTACACCAAGTGACATAAAACGTTCTCGAGTTATCGTGATGACAGACATACAAACAACACACACACACACGCACACACACGAGAAACGTTTTAATCATAACTCATCACTGGAGTAAAAGGCTTCGCGAATCGCTCAGCCAAGTAAGCATGCCAGTAAAGCTGAGGTGCAAAAGAATGCAGCAAACAAGAAAACGGAAGTCACCATTCTAAAGCATAGTGATTTCCGTTTTCTTCTTCCCCGCATTCCTCTGCATTTCAGCTTTACTGGAATGCTTTACTTATATTTCTGGCCCACATGGACTTGATTCATTGCTGTTGGGGGTCTCTGTAGATCCTAGTCATTTTATCACTATTTACACAAAATTGTTTGCAATCAAAGTAGCAGGCGGTTTTCACCGGTCTTTTAGTCTGTAGAAAAAAATCTTAGCCCTAACCATGAGAGTAGGGCTACATGGAGTGGCAACGAAAGTTACCCGAGACTTATAATATTTTAAAAATTTCCTCAAGAACAGTATAACGCACCAACATCCCAATCGGAAGGTTTCAGGGGCCAGGTAAAGGCCAGGGATTTGTGCCCTCTGGGAAATCTCAATTGCCCCCCCCCCCCCTGACCCCTCCAAGCTAGTCAAACGTACACACCAACCGTGCTCTGCTTGTGATTCGGCGGTCATGCGACGGGATATCGGTTAAGTTGCCCCCTGACTGTAAATCCTAAAGCAGGGTTCATACCAGATCCCAAATTCTATTTTCCCTGACTTTTCCCTGACTTCCAGACCAAAATATCCCGTTTTTCCCTGACTTTTCTGAGTAGAATAGGAGGTCAATGTCGTAGAAATACAGAAAGAAACGGGACGCAAAAATTAATTCGTTACTTCTGAAAACTAAAAAGAATACTGAAAATCAGAATATTGGTAAAAGAATAGGCCAAGATAGCGTCTATGCTCGCGAGCGGAGCGAGCAAGAAATTTTTGTGGTAATAAATCTGCATTTTATGCCATCTCTGGTGAAATTTGCCAGCATTTGCCGACACTGAATAGTTTTCCCTGACCCAAATGAAATTTCCCTGACTTTTCCCTGACTTCCAGACACCTTTTTTTT